CCAGATGGACTTGAACCAGTGTCCAGTCTATAAAGAGGAGGGTCAACACGGAGGAATCATTTCCTCCATGCTTCCAAGAGAAGCCAACAATGGTCGAGCAGGACCTTTGACTTATCTTCACATAGATGGAACTGATAAAAGAAAGGAGCCAGGGGCTGTGGCAGCAGAGGAAGGGGCTTATTGGGGACCAGGCCTGTCATGTCCAGAGTTGGGTCAGGAATAGCCTGACCTCTAATGGGGCTTACTGAATCATGTGGGGTGCATCTGTGGGGCCAGCCTCCTAGCCACACATCCTCATCCCACGAGGCTCATATCTCAGGGAACAGCAGTCTCTTGGTTTCTTTAGATGCCTCAGCCCCATGGACTGAGCCAATTCTCAAGTATGGACACTCACTCAGGCCCAAGAAAGGGAGTAGGAGGGGCCAGGTGGCCTTTTCTTCATCTTTTTATTTTCCACCCAGTTCCATCATCCATCCCCACTCCCAACTACTGAAGGCTTCTTTTATTTCACATCTCCACCAGCAAATGCTTCAGAAGTTTCAAGGTCCTCTGATGAGATCCACATGCTCCCAATAAACTTAGCCCTGGGCCTGTGATCTTGATATGAGAAATCTGAGCCTTGTTTAAGTTCCACAGCCCTTTTAAGTCTCTCTTCCCTGATCTAGCCTTCTCTGAGATGCTTCAGCTGTGGTGCTGCCCAGAGAGATGCTCAGGACATTTTGGCTCATTTCTCTTCTAGTCAAAGATGACCAGGAGGCTGTGCTTTGCTTCTACAAAACTGCTAAGGACTGTGTCATGATGTTCAGCTACACAGAGCTGCCCAATGGGAAGTCCAACCTGACAGTACTCAGGGAGCCAGGTGGGTAAGATTGAGGATCTATCCTGGGTCTGCTTTCTGATGCAAATCCCTGCATGGTGGCATACAGCTGTAATCCCAGCACTCTGGGAGATAGAGGCAGAAGGATGAGCAGTTCAGGGTAGTTCAGGCCAACCTAGGCTACATGAGACGGGCGGGGGGCAGGGGGAGAGGGACTGCTGGGACAGAGCACTGGGGTTGTTGAGTGGAGCTCTTGGAGGACTGGTCCTGTCCCCCTTTGGAACGTCACTGTGGGGGAAACAGACCTTAACCTGCAGGCTCATGGAGGAGCTGAGGAGGAGGAACTAGCAGAGGATTTCTACAGTAAGGAGGCCTACAGGGAGGGTGCAAGGCAGCCGGAGCTGGGGTATCCCTTGAGTTGGGGGTCATCTGGGTTAGAGCACCCAGCTCACTGCTGCTGCCTCCCAGGGCAAATTCCAAGACATATGATGACATGCTGGGAGCAGCTTCCCTGCCTGCTGCCCTGCTTGGCTCTGTGGACCACTGAAGAGGCAAAGCTTTCATCCAGATACTGACAGTTCAGCCGTGTGTTCTGGGTGTGGGGAACAACAGTTTTTTGCCTCAGACTTATTGGGATTTCTAAAATTAGCTATTTTGAAATGGGGAAGGAGTAGAAAAAAGTTTGCTGAGTCTAATATAGGCAGTTCAATTTGCAAGAGGAGTTAGGACCCCCCTCCCTACAACCACCACCACCACACACACAGCGTGTCTCTTCTTACGGGCCAGAGGCAGAAGAGGTGTGATACTAGCCCAGAATGCTTGCCTGTGGTGGTGAGGCCTTGCTTCCAAGCTCTTTGTCATTCGGGAGCACTTCACTAAGGGCTCAGCTATGTCTGGTCCCCAGCCCAGCCCTTGCAGAAGTGGTGTATGCTACCTCCTGCTTGCCCAGTCTGTACCCAAAGCCACAGATATGAAAACTGAGCTGTGGCCGAGCATCCTGCACTGGAGCTGGGCCAAGCTGGGGCCATGGAGGCACAGTCAGATAAGGGAAGGGTGGTCATTCACCAGGATACCCACCTTTGCCATCAACTGGCTATATGATCTTGGAACAGTCACTGAATTAATTCTCTGAATATTTTACTGTCTGTCCCTTGGGGAGAACTTCTATACTCACTCTAGCTTTCAGTCTTCAGAGGCAACTTGAGAGAGAGCTGACGGGAAGGTGTCTGATAGAGGTGACTGAGGCCAGACAGTATAGGTGGGTGGGTATCTGATGGTTTTGCCCACCTGGCTTCTGGTGCCTTCCAGAGTGTGGAACTTCCCCTAATGCCACGACCATCCTACTGGCCGTGGTCGGTGGCATCCTTCTGATTGGGGTGGCTCTCCTGGCAATCTGGAAGCTGCTTGTCACCATCCATGACCGCAGAGAGTTTGCCAAGTTCCAGAGTGAGCGCTCCAGGGCCCGCTATGAAATGGTAAGGAGGTGGGGGTAGGGAGATGGGTAAAGAGACTAAAAGATTGCCAAAGGCAGCCAACATCTTCAACATTAAAAACAAAGAATTAGTTGCTGGAGAAATAGATGGTTTAGTGGTTAAGAGCACTGGCTGCTCTTGCAGAGGGTTAGATTTTAGAAGAGGAGAAAAGGATGACGTTTAGAGTTTAGAAATAGGAGCCAGAGCCAGACCTGCAACAGGCAAGGAATATGTTCTTTATTCAGGTATCAGAGAAGGGCAGAAGCCTTTCTGTGGGAAGAAGGCATCTGCAACCAAGGAAAGGGGGTTTGGGGTTTTTATACGAATTCTACTGAACATAGCTGCAGGAGTTTGCTCGGTGCCAGGGTCTGGTGTGATTGAAGAGTATTTTCTTAGGCAGGGCAGGTGAGCAATCTAGGGCACTAAAGGAGACAAGTTGGCTCCACAGTCTCCTTCAATCCTGGGAGTAACCAGTTCATAAGGCCAGTTGGCCACTTTAAGGAATTTATGGTTATATTGCTTCCTTAATGAGGCTATGGCTCTCCTGTAATGTACACATTCTGTCACAGAGGACCTGGATTCAGTTCGCAGCACCCACACAGCAGCTGACAACTGTCTGTGACTCCCAGTTCCAGGGGATCCAACGCCTTCTGGCTTTCGTGGGTACTGTATGACAGAGGTATACGTGTATGCAGACAAAACATGCATAAAATAAAAATAATTCTTTTTAAATAAGAAAAAATTACACACACACACACACACACACACACACACACAAATTAGTCAGGTATGGTAGTGCACACCTGTAATTCCAGCTACTTAGGAGGCTGAGGCAGGAGGACTGAAAGTTCCAGGGCCAGCTTTGGACAACTTAGCAAGACCCTCTCTCAACATAAAAATAAAAAGGTTTTCATTCCCAGAACAAACAAAAGATCTACAAACAAGACAAAACAAACAAAAGATCTACAGCAAAGAATCAACACCCACAGTGCTATGTCTAGGACAAGACAGGAGAACTACATGCCTGGAACACATGGGGCATGTGCACACGCCTGCCTCTAGCCCATGTTGGGATTGACAGGAGGCAGAGGTACCCAAGGCAGGCTCACTGGGACAAGTCAGATGACAAGAGAGACCCAACCCAGGAAAGCAGCTGAAGCTCTTAGGGTCTGGCTCCACAGTCATGTGAGCTAGTCTCCAGGCTCATAAAGGGCTGAGCTGAGTAGGTACCCACTGATTTCCCATGCCAGTCTCTATTAAAGTTGAAAGGGACTTCAGAGGCTTTCTGCCCCACTCCTCATTTCAGAGATGAAGACCAAAAGCTCAAAGAAGGAAAGGGATTCTTGCAATCACAGGAAGTCAGAAGCAGTCGGTCCTAGAGGCTGTATCTTCCCAGTGACTGCCTAAAGAAGGGTGCCAGACCTGAGCCTGAACTAATGCATTTCCTCTTCCTTCTGTGCCTGCAGGCCTCAAACCCCCTCTACAGAAAACCCATCTCCACACACACTGTGGATTTCACCTTCAACAAGTTCAACAAATCCTACAATGGCTCTGTGGACTGACGGTATTTTTGAAAGGCTGGAGTGTGACTAAGGACAAAGATTAAGTGCCTTGGACAGCTCTTGACTTGATCACGCTAAATAGGCAAGCACCAAGATGCACTCCACTGTACCTGAGCAAGGGACCCGCTATCCACACAGGAGTTAGCTGGCCATAACCCCTGGCTGCAGGCCAGAGCCACATGAGGTCACCTCCCTCCAAGCCTGGGAAAAGCAAGGAGACATTGGCATTCTCGGCTTCCCTGCTGCCTGCAGCTTGCAGTCTGGATGAACTGCTGAGGCCTGGGCTGCCTCTTCCTTTCCTGCCTGGTCAGACAAGAAGGTACTGGGGAGGGTCCACGTGTGCAAAGCCAGTGTGCAGCTTGGCTTTTTCATGTTGATCATTTTTATATGAAATAAAAAGGTCATGCATTTATGGTGGCGATCTGATTTCTGGTTATCTAAGAACTGTCTGCTTGGCACCTTTGGGTGTTGGTGGTAGGATCAGTGATGTACATGTTGAAGACACACACTTTGCAAATGTTAGCCTTTTTTTTTTTTTTTTCCTTTCCTTGTTTGTTTAGTGTTTTTGTATTGAAAAGGAAAGAGACTGGAC